AAGTATTTCCGCTAGCGCCTAATTGTATGCTATAAATAATTATGTGCATTATGCGCCCAATTTGTTGTTGCTGCATACATATATAACTGTAATTTGGGCAATTTTCGGCGTACAACTACTTGCTGATTGCCTTCTCAAGTGCTGTGCTGTTGATTGACGTGTCTGAAATTGTATAGCACGTATGCTTAAGCTTAAGCGCCTAAAATTACTTTGTCAAATTTCTTGAAACTTTTACAGCATCTACGAGGTCATATGTGCTGCATTTAAATGATTATAAATATATCAAGAATTTATTTTTGCACCCTAGATTTTTATGGAGCCAGAATTTCAAGGAAATCTGCCTAAAATTGTATTTTACAACATGATAAAATGTTTAATATATCAAAAATGTCTGCTTTGCTGAAATAATTAAATTACTGTTGAGTTTTTTTTATTATTTTATATTTTTTATTAAGTAAAACGACAAGCGTTGACAGTATAAATGTCATTGCATACAAATTATTCTACAGACTGCTGCGTCTATCTGCTCCGCCTTTGCATCTCCCATGCGAGGTTTAATTTTTGATAACCCAAACAGCTGTGTGCTGATTTCCAGCCATAAAAATGTTGTAAAAGAAAGTTCTTTGAAAATTGTTCATTTTCCCTTTTTTGTACTTCATTCATACATACATACGTAAAAAGCATACAAATCTGGTATCATATTTATTGGCGCAAGGCATATTGAAGCAAATGCTTAAAATGAAAATTATAAAGCAGTATATTGTGCGTCGCTTTTGGGCAACAGCTGTGCGCCTGTGAAAAATTCTTCTTACAAATTTAATAGCTCAGCTCATAGCTAATGAATTTATAAATGTTTTCGAAAGTGCGCATTACATTTTTGTTGCCTACATTTGAGCGTAAGTCAAGAAATTGTAGTCTACATTTAAGCGCAAAGGACGAAATACTCCACATTCATGTTAAAACCATAAAAAAGTGACTCCTCTTGATAAAAGTTTTCTTTCAATTCGGCAAGTCGATGGTTGGGACACCCAATTAAAAAGTTGTACGTCAAGTACAGAACACAACACAAAAAAAAATTAAATATTACATGCAAACAGCGAAAATAATTGGTAGAGCTGCAATCAGCTACAGACTGTATTTTTAACCATAAAAAGATCGCAAAAACTATTTACCGCAAACAATTTCAACATTGAAACCACAATGAACAATACAAACTATACATAAACAACAAAATACACAAAAATATACTTACTACATATATATTAATAAATTCTTTTCCAAAATTTAATTTTTTACGAGAAAACCAGCTTCAAATACAACACTGTGTCTGCTCTCTGCCTCTCTGGCACCACTATTTCACTCTTGCGCCTACCTCTCTATCCGCTGCCGTCTCTTCCTTCCTACTCCTTCCATTTCTACCTTCCTACCTTATCTCCACTTCCATCCACATTTGCTTTCTTCATACCGCAATTTTAGTGGACAAGCTACATTACACTTGATTTCCTTTGTATTGTTGTGCATTCGCATCGAGCTACCGCACACACAACTCATACAGGCGCACTTTTTTGCAGCAAACTTTTGTGCGTCGAGCTCTCTTTTATATTTGCTTACAATTTGGCAATTTTTTATATTAATTTTCTTTTATTTTCGTTGTTGGTTGTATAAAATATATCAATATTTCCGCATGAATAACGGTGAATGGTCGTAAAAAACTGTCAACTGCAATTTTTATGTGAAGCAGCAGAAAATCAGAAAATGGCGGGTTATTGGAAGACATATCCAAAATTTAATTGGTTGACATGGGGGGTAAAGAATTTGCGGCGCGCTAGACTGGTCTGAAGTGCCAGTTGAGAAGTGTCTAAATTTTATTTTTAAGCATTTAGCACTTCAGGATCGTGGAGCAGCAGAAATGGAAAGGCTTGCGTAAAAAAAGTTATAAAACTCAGAGATGGTTGAGTTTTAAATTTCACACTGGGATGATCTGAGTTTTCTAAACTTTAAAATGGCCTATTTGAAAACTCCTGAGCTCCTTAAAACATATCAACCTGGTGGCAGATCGTTCATGCTTCCTAAACAGCATGTTCTATCATCTATTTCATTGCGAAGAAGTTATAATGACAGAAAAGAGTTTTGAACGAACTCATTATGGAGTAAGCAGTTGGCATCGACTCGATTTTGTGGTGTCCGGTGCACAGAACTCCAGTTCATCTTGTTTTTACAGAGCAGTCTGTGATATTACTGAACTTCGGTCATTGATCTGTTGAATTTTCTATTTTTCCTGCAGACTAGCGCCTGGGTTGGTTGTACGGGAAGTAGACAGGGGTGGGTTTGCATTAAAAACTTATCAGCACACTTAGAAAGTCCTGATAAATCAACTATGGGATAAGGTTTGCAATGGAAGTCAACCGCTAGTGGGAAACCAGGCAAGAAGTAGAAAAAATACTTAATCAAGAAATGAAGAGGCGGGGTCCATCTTCGCTGTGTAAATATTATATCTCCCGTTTTTGCCATTTATCGATAGCAACACATTTATTTCTTCATTTTTACACATTTCTACTAAATCCCTGCCAAAGCTTAACGGTTGTGTTACTGCACAAAAGTATCCACTTAAAATATATTTGCACAAGAAAGTGCTTAGTGGCGTTTGCTACTAAATAGAAGGAGTATACATTGCTACTATTACTGCACTACTATCAGCTGTATACATACATATATGTATGTAATTCCACGCGTTTCTATTTACACTCCACTTCCACTTAACACTCTGCGTGTGTGTTTGTGATAATGAATTGCTAGACATTCATAATTTATTGTTGTTGTCATATTGGTTTTCTGTCAGTGGAGTGTACATACATATGTACGAGTATGCAACTACATACTTGCACAGTGCACAATTGCATTTTATTACAAATGCTACCACAGCAACATGAAGTAAACACTTATGGGAAAGTGTTTAATAGCCGCAGGCAAAGAAAGGGTTGTAAGTAGACGTCTCTCTAAAGCTGATTGTAGGAGTTCGCCACTGAAAGTGTTGGGGGTTCTTGTTGGGATTTATTTTTTGTTAGCTCTGCTAATGTAGTTATGTTTACAGTATTCCTCACCCTCACCTCCTTTCTAAGCTTTACCAATCAAACGTGCATGCCCACATATGTAGCAGCAGTTGCGCTGCTTTGGTTAAGTGTCCACTACGACTGTGTTCGTTTGTTAGGTTGTTGAGAGATTTATGGTGTCACTAGCTATTTTTATACTCTTCACTGAACTAATTGCCACTTATTAATGGTCATTTTATGGTTTGTTGGAAATCGCATGTGTTTTGTTTATAAAATGTATTATTATATACTGGCACTGCATAGCGAAAGCTAAGTGGCAAATTCATCTGCCTACAGTTTCGCTTTATGTGATAACAAAATCAAATGAGGGATAGACTGTTCTGTTCAGTCATATTCATAAGCCCATAGTTTGACATGAACGAGCCTATGGCCTGAGTAAGAGTTCTATGGTACTTTGGCGGAAAACGCCGCTTTTACTCTTCTCCTATGCCATTTTTCCTCCAAGCGAAATTTCTATGCTACTGGGAATCAGTATTCTTAAATAAAGCCAGTAATAAGGAAAATTTTGGGCACGAAGAATTTTATTTTTAATGTTGTGTTGATAAAGCAGCTTCTATTTCACTTCTGAATGTTGTAAAGAGCAAAGAAAGATGACGTGGCGCTTACATGTCTATCTTCTAAGATATTCCACTTCTGAATTTTGTAAACTTTGCTCGCTTCCCACGTTTATTAATAGAAGACTCTTACATATTTACATATATCAAAGTTAGCATCCATATAACTTAAAGTCAAGATCTAAAGTAATTCAATAATCTCCACATAAAAAAGAGTAAGAAATTAGTAACAAAAGAAAGTGAAATAAAATTTAAATTTTTAAAGAAGGAAAAATAAAGCGAGGACGAAAATAAAAAAAACAGGTTAATTTTCTTCATCAGCATAATTTTATTTTTAACTTAACCTTTTCGTCCGCTCTTTTAGGTACACCCTGCAAACAAAAAAAAACATTTGTTTGGCGCTTGTAATTATCAATCACTCAAGAAGTGATAAGAACTGAAAATGGCTAGGCAACTATTAGGCTAAATTGATAGCAAAAACAACTACATGGCAATTCCAAAATTGATTTTAATAAAAGTCGCCGATAGTGAAGATAAATATTTGGTAGTTTTTTTAAGATAAAATGATAATTAAGAATAAAAAATTGATGATGAGAAAATTGTGGCGTATTTTTAGTTTCTTATTGAAATTCGTGCGAAACATTGGTTCATAAAACGGTTGAGTCTTACAATAAAATTTTTTTTTAATTTTTCCTTAATATAATATTTTTAAGCAAGTATTTCATTGCATCTAATTTAAGCAAAATACAAATAATTAAAGATTCAGATAATTCGAATACAGTTGCTAAAATGCATTTCAAAATATTTTTTGTCTTCACGCTATATTTTTTGAGAAATGGTGAGTCAGGGAAAAGAAAAAAGACGTAAATATAAAACGTTGCAGGCAATATAGATGAGAAAATAGTGGGAGAAGGGACACAACTGTTTGAAACTATTTGAAAAAAAATTAAATTGAAATTATTTTGTGCTCAAAAAAGATACAACATCTTGTCGTGACTTCTGATATTGGGTATTTCATTAGAAACGAGATAAAAATATGCACAATATGCATCATTAAATAAATTGTCTTGTACATTGAATGGATTGTTTTAATATACGAGTGCAGTGATAAGCGATACGATGAAGAGTAACGAAGAAATAAAAAAATGGTGAAAAGGAAAAACTCCACGCGTTCTCTTTCTGAACACCTAAGAATTTGAACGCATTCCATTCATGAATAAATTCCAAGAAAATTTAATTAACCTCACATACTTAGCTATCAAATTTCATATTCTTAGAAGCATAATAAAATTCGTTACCGAAATTAGTAAAATCCATCTGCTTTTCTTCTTCTCAGCTCATGCTAACTATCTCGAATGTTATGTTTGCGAGGATTGCGAGGAGAGTGAAGGTAAGCCGGTGTCATGTGCACTACTCGGGGAGCTGCAATTAATAGATCCCACACCACATACCGCAAATGGTACAATTCTTATAACAACAACAGAAAAGGCAAGCGACACATCAATAAAACCACCTACCTCTAGCCAGGTCAGTGCTGGAGCTTTCACTTCTCAAGGCTCGTTAACTAACAATCTAACGACAATCCCTACTGCTTTTGATACGACGACAATCTCGGAGACCTTAAAGACAACAGCTGCTACTCAAAATGAAAATATTACTACGCCTACGGATAGTATACCGCAGAACCAGACTTCCAGTAGACCACAAATTATTGTGGATTCCATGGAATCCTATGAAGATATGGAGTATGATTTTGGAAATCCAACTTACGTCAACTCATCACAATTACAACACAATACCAAGAATACGAAAGATATTATAGGTCTAACTGACTTCACTAACAATATCTCGCTGACTGAAGGGTATGAAGGCAACAGACCAACCAATGAAAGCTCCATCGATTCCGCGCTTGTCTCTAATTTAACAAACTCGACTTTTCTTTCAACCAATGGAACAAATGTTTTGGGACTCTCAGGAATTACAAATGAATCGTTGATATTTGATTCTTTACCGGGTAGACCAAATAATACAAATCTAACTGAGTTTAATACAACAAGATTTGAATACACAACCTTGGTATCACAAGCAGAGAATATTTTGGATACAGATGATTCAATTTTCGAAGAACATTCAGAAGAATACTCATCGGAATCTGAAGAATATTTTCCATGGCTCATACGTTCCAACGCACTTTTTGAGAATAGTCGGAAGGACAAGGCTATGCGGAGTGCTAAAGGCTTCACTAACACTAAGTACGGCAAGTTGAACTATGACAAGGGAATGAAGCAATTGAATATAACCTACAAGTGTTACACTGTGCAGGTTAAAGGTAAGTCGTATGCTCATGCATACTTCAGATTTGGAGAAATAAGTTTTCTAAGATAACGAGTTAAAAATTCCTTTTTACATTAAATTCATTTATTTTATCGTTTTATATAAATTTTTACATTGTAGAATCTATCCTAATTTCCCATTCCCAGGCCAAAACAAAGTGCAAGTAAATAAAGGTTGTATCGCTGTGCCACCAAAAAGAACTGCCTGTGAATTATTATCCTTGAAATATGACAAAGAAACACTAAAAGGTTGTCAAGTATGTTTGGAGGACAAATGTAATCGCAACAACAGCAATGGTTTAAAATTTTCTTTCAAATCTTTACTGTCAGTAATATTAGTCGCTTGGTTGCTTTACTGAGTCTTACATTAATTATAATATACTGTATATTTTTTGTATTCACTGTTAAAAATTAAATTCTTATCAGATTATTTGTTTATGAGGTATATCTTTTTTATCCTTGCACTTTTTGTAGCAAAAACTTTTTGCCATTGTCATTTTCACTTCAAAAGGTCTCAAGGGTTAGAGTATCATTATATTATCTATTATCTGATTTAAAATAAAAGCGTTAACGACAGTGTTGCACTCATAAATGACTAGCACTCTTTTACAATGCAAAACTGAAGGGAACTGTTTTCATTTGGGGAATGACACTTTCTCTTGATACACACGAATGTGGACAAGTTCCTTTAAAAAAAATCCATAAAAGGTCAGCAAGAGGGAGAAAAAGATAAATAAAGAAGTACTGACAACCATCTCATGTTGTGATAACCGTTAAATACGAAGGTCTAATGAGCTCAGAAATCAAAATGATAGCGAGCAACCCAATAAGAGCAGCAATAGCAACCGACACCATCATGCAAAAAAAAAGCCGTTAGTTTGTTTATTGTCAGTCAGCTTTATTGCAATCCCGTGCATGAATGATAAGTATCTTCAAGGGTCAAAATGTCGCACAATTAAAGGCGCCAATTATGCGCAGCAAGTTCAGTCGATTTAGCGTGCCTGTGACAATTTCGCGCTAATGAATTTCGACTGATGGGCGGACTGTGGAAAATGAAGATGATAATTGTAAATAGGAAAAAAAGGAAAACGCTAAAGGAGGATAAAAGCTTAAGCGGCAAGCAATGAGAGGTTCGAAAAAAGAGTTAATACTTGCAAGCTCTTAACTGGAAATGTTGAAAGTTATAGTCCTCTCAAATAGACTGCCCTAAGCTTGAACATTACGAGTATATGTATGTAAATATATATATAAATATAATTGGCGCTTTGTAACTGCCGACTCAATTTCTGGCCGAGCTCTGTGTTCTTGCATCTTGCGGTTTGTCCAACTACAGTTATTACTAAGCCGCGTCCGAACAGCTGAAAGGTTTTTAATGAGGAGCCTCTATTTCATGCCAAAAAAGACACTCGGAGGGCTTGACTTTCTCTGTCGAGGAGCGACAGCAATTAGAAAATTTCACTTAATTTTTTATTAAAATTAATTTTCTATAACTTTTGGATGTGGGTCGCACAGGGATTTGAACTCGAACCTTTCAAATGTCAGTACGCACTGCTTACCACTCGACTACCGCGACCGATGAAATTATATACCAACCTTATTATTATGCTTAATTAATTAATTAATAATTATCCATGGAATCATAATTTTTCCATACAGAACACAAATTTCTTTTAATTATTTTAATTATTCCACTTCAGAATTTTGCGGAAACATAACATCCGTCTCAATATATATTGATTTAATTATTATATTTTGTGATTAACTAATTTGGAATATACCTGTTGATCAACTCCTCGACTCATTGCTGCAATAATGGAACTCCTGACGAATTTAATACAATTTTATTTCACTTAAAATTCAATCGAATACTCGAAACTGCCATAAAATTCAAATTTTTGCTATGAAATATAAATTTATTTCAGCTTTTTTCCACTTTCCCCAACATTACAACCTACACGCATAATACATAGAGCAACGTAAAATATCATAAAATTTAATTCGCTGCCACTTACACAAACAGATACCACTACCACTACAAATACAACATGACCAGACAACAATCGCACTGTTAATGAGATTTTACGCCTTTCACACGTGCTTTTAACAACTGTCAAATACAAAAGCCATTTTTGACTGGCTGCTGGAGTATGAATGACTATTGCGTTGGTGTTTGTGTTTGTGTGTGTGTGCGAGGTGTGAACAGGTGGCAAATTTCGAGCTGCTTGATATTTTATTACTTCACGCACACACACATGCACTCGTAATAATATCGTTATTGGCATAAGGTTGGCATAAAGTTTCTAACGGTTACTTAAAAAGACTTAAAAAGCTGAAACTCTTAGCCTTTAGGTATGTAAACAGTGCTGTACTCGAATGTGCAGCGTGTAGATTGAAAAATTGAAAAGCTATTGAGAACAGCAACTAACCGAAAAATCATAAATGTGGCGCTTTTATAGCGGTATTTTACAACACTAGCGCGCTCACATTCCTTCGCGAGAAAGCGCTGTGTGTGTGTTTGTATACACCAAACGAAATTTTATTATCACAAATTGAATTAAGTTGGCCGTGCGTGCTACGTATGCATGCGAACGTGTTAGTTGTAGTTATTGAGAAATTTCAATCAAAATATTGGAGTGGAGAGATTTCAAGTAATAGGAAATTACAAAGACTTTTCCATGAAATATATGAATGCTCTAAGGAAATGTAGAAGAATTTAAAACCGATATCTTGTCTGTGAGCATAAGCAAGAGCCAAATCAATATATACACTTTAACCAAGACACCAAAACAGAGAATGACTACCAATAGAGAGTTTGAAATTTCAGAAAAGTCTCACTGCTTCTGTCCTAACTTTTATGCAGTAATTTAGATTCCACCGAGAAGGGCGCTAAAAATGACCGGTTTTAGACGTTGAATAGGGAACAGTCTCAGATGGAAACTCAAGCGATTAAAAGCTATTGATATAAAAAATTAAAAGCAAGGTGTCCCACATGCATCAGTCGGGAGGTAAAGACGTGTCCCAGTTTCCCTAATGCGCTTGTGTGGGAACCACAATGGAATTCTCTATGATGAACTTGTGTAAAGTGGTCAGTAGCTCTAGGCAGTTTACCACAGATAGTACGATAATGGCGAGTTATTGGAAAAAACTACCAGCAATTCATATTTCACCATGACCATACTCAAAACATATGTCAATGGTAGCAATTGGAATGCCTTTACCCAACCGCAGCTTAAACCAGATAACGCACCATTAGATCACCATTTGCTGGATCCCTAAGAGCTGGATATTTTTTCCGCCCACAGGCGAGCAAATATATTGGGCACAAATCATCACATGGAAGCCCCTTTATTTAGGTCTCAAGTAAAGTATAGGTTTTGTGGCCTTACAATCCAGAAGTCCCGTCTAGTTTTATTCATTAACTGTGCCTTTGGGGTTATCTCTGGAAGCTTTTATTGAGCTCTGGTTGAGTTTTAAAGCTAGATAAAGTACAAAATTCCGCTTCTTCGTCCTAAAACATACAATTTTTTCTTCAGAATTTCCTTTTGAATTTTTTTAAAATCGCAATTTTATGCAAGCAATTTCACTAATACTAAATCCCAGCAATTTTTATTTTGATATTTCCCCCTCGCAACTGCTATGTACCTTTAAAAACTGCCACTGAAAAATTGCCAAACTAAAGAAATCTCTCGAAAGCACAACTAACGCACTTGAAAGTTCCACCCCACACTACTTAACGTCAACAGCAAGCGTTCTCCTCTTCTCTTCTTTTTGCCGTGTGTGCTGTGGCCCGCCTGCCTGCAATCACATGCTCCATAAAGCGCATGAAGCGTTCCACTTCCTTGGATTTCATCATCATCAGCCGCAGTGTAAAGCTATGAGAACTTTCTGAGTAGCTTCATACTTCTACGCCCTCGGTATATATGCGAGTACGTGCAATCACATGTGTATGTGTGTGTGTGTGAGTGAACGCTTAAAAGTAGGCTTTTCTCTACGAGTATAATTTCAAATAATCCCACTTTTGTGACATTTCCGCAGCCAACTTTAGTTTTAACCAAGTTTTCTTTTTCTTAACGCGCGATAGCCATGAGAGTTGAGGTGGAAAAAATTACGAAAAAGAATTACAAGAAAAATGTAAATATGGTCAGTCTTTGGAAAGCAACAAAAAATGGGTAAATTTATGTATAAAATGACGAAAGGCACAGGAAACTAAGTTATGCCATGAAATATGTAGTTTATGTTATGTACTTCACTGCTGCTACCGTTAAACACATGTAATTTTGTATGGTTTGCGTTATGACTTATTTAATTTTTTAAACTTTTTTGTTTTAATATTCATCATGCTTTGCTGATTTTCTGCGAATGGGTCAAAGCACTAATGTACCAAAGTATTTACATTCAAATAAATGAAAAACCGATGTTTCGCTAATAAAAAAGAGATTTCTAAAAAAAAAGCTAAAAACGGTTTAAGAAAGACCTTATTGTAATAAAAATTATTGTCTCGAAAGGAGTTCACTTTAGAAGTCTTGAATTTCTGATAATATCGAAAATCTTTCATCTTAGGTTGGACAAAATTATGACCGAGAATTGGAACCCAATTATGCTCTGGCCAATCCCATAATCTACGTCAATTATCGTGGGATAAGCCTCTCGGTATCGCATATAACATGCTCTATTTTACGTGGAAGATTAATTGCTTATCAATGAAGATATAAATTCTATAAGAGACCCGTTCGGCCGTTGGTCTAGCCAATGCTCAGAGCCATGAAACTCCGCATGGCAGGAAGCACTCCCAACCAAAAAAAAATAATGAATATGTATCCCCTTTAATGCACTTCATAATCATTTTCCTTGCTCAGAAGTCAGATATTTGAATACACATGCTTACATATTTGTGCCCCAAACGCCTTACCCTTTTGTATTCCACTTGCAACTAAGGCCGTTCTTAAGCTATTACTTTTATATCACCAACAAGTTAACAAATATTTACTATTCGTCTCTTGCTCTGCTATTTGCTCGATAATCTACTTAACCCTTTCGGCATTGTTTCATTGGTTTCGGTAAGGAAATTAACTAAAATTTATATTATTATTATTAAGTACAAGTACAAGCTCATTTGATAGAATTTGCTGGCAGACAGGACATGTAGTACGTATATACATACATACGAGTATATTTGAAGCTCAAAATGTGAAATTCGAAAACGGTCTCATGCAATTTTCGATTTGTTGATTGACTGACGACTGTGGTTTGACCAGCGGCTCAATAGGGACTGCTCAGAATTCTATTAAATGCAGATATTATTGTAATTACACAGAAGCAATGTAATAAATTGCCATTTGCATTTAAATGGTATTTGAGGTTAGATGTGAGATGGACGGGAAATGGAGGTAGAGATTGTGCTAAAACAGCTAGGGAAACACATTAGAGGCCCTATTTAGCATTCTCCTAGAACACATTTATTTAGAAGCGAGGAAACCGTTGGAAAACTAGTCTTAAAGCTCACCTAAGGGAACCTAACAACCTGATCTAGATCTGAGTGCAAAAGATTCACTTTAAAATATGTAAGCATCTAATCAATAAATCAAATTAGCAAGTGAAATGAAAAACAGAAAGCAGGCTTTTTCATAGCCTACTTGGGCTTAGAAAAAGATATTTCGTTACAAACACATATCTCAAAATAAGTCAAAGAAGATAAAAGTTTGCCGACGACCATGAGGTGGGGAACACCTTTCAATCTAATGAAAAGGGTTAAGCAGCTGGACATTTTTTGCGTTACCAATGTGAACAAAATAAAAATCATGTACGAATTAACAAGCTGCCCAACTGCGAGCTGCCAGACTCAGCAGCAAAAAGCCTTTGAATGAATTACTTACTCCAGCTTCCAAATTATGCTACGCAATAAATACGGCCTTTAATAAGCAGAATAGTTCTTCAGTTTCGGGCATCTTTGTTGTTGTTATTATGGATATGTATATGTATTTTTTTCAATTTTCTTTATCAATACGGTATTTTTCCACCGCATCGGTTAAATAGAGTTTATAAAATTTATGTAGAGCAACATTGGCATGAAATTGATATGTGAGGGTTAAAAAGGTCAGCTAGATTCCCATACCACCACATATAATACTAACTTGAGTTTCTTTCTTGCGTTGGTGGAGAGGGTGGGCAGCAGAATATGACTTCTTTGTGCTCGTTTTTTTCTCCTTCTTGTAAAAACAGCGGGCAGCCTTTTTGGTCATAAACTTCAGACAAAACGGATATTATAACGAAATAGTGAAAACGGAAATTACTGGTATTAAACATTATCTGATGGATTGCTTAGTTGAGTAGCCAATAGCATATACATTGCATATACATACATTCGTAATATCTCAAGTGATTTTCGGCGGAGCTTTTCCCCAGGTTTATGTGTCTTCATGCTTTTTCTAGAGTGATCCGAAGATTTAGGTTCCTCCAAAGGACTGAGAAAACTTAAATTTCACATATACGTGCTGCTGTTGTTGTTGTTATAGCCGCGAAAATTTTCCCTAAAGTAGATAGTAGTGACTATCTTTATACGGGTAAAAATCTGTCGCAGAAACTTTTGGATCTTAGTCGCCTCTTACGACGAGCACGCCTTACCGCGGGAAAATTCTTGAACCCCAACCACGTAGGAGGCGTCATATATGCATATAATCATATGGTGAAAGCCTTTAAAATACTAGCCTGGCCCGAGCTCGAAACACGCACAGCCACCAGTTACCCATTGACTACCGAACATCAAATTGTTATTATGACGTTTTAGTTGAACTTTGAAAACTGTTTGCTGGAAACGCGCACAAATCACAAACAACTTCCGTCAAAAATATGAATCGTTGCTTGCGGCGTCTAGCGCTTATTAGCGCTGAACTAAAAAATCATCAAATTTATGGGCAGCACTGCCGACAACAGCTGACTTGATATTGAACAGCTGCAATTTTGTTAGTTCAAATTTGGCGAACGGTTTTCAGAATTATCAGTTGTTTTATAAAGAAATAGAATTTTACAATAATCTATATATAATTTTTTTTAGTAAAAAAAAGAATAGAAATTTTTTATAACTCTCGCTAGCGTGAAAAACTAATCAGCATGTCTACAAACACCAGCGGCGTCTCACAAAACCAAAGTAATATGTCACTAGAGGATTGGGTGAGTTACCCCTGCCATAAAAATATTGATTTTCCTTTTTCAAATGTATACCCCTTTCGCAGACCGATCACATCAATGAACGCTTGGACGTCATATATAAAGATCTCTGCGATTTTGAGCAAAGTGTTAATGCACAAAACGAAACGGGCGATACTGAGGAAGTAAAGTTGATGGAATTACTGGAGGCTGTTAATGAAATACAGCGCACTGCACGTAGCATACGACCCATCACCGATACTTTGAAGGATAAACAGGCACATATGCGTGAACAAATGGAGATGTTGCAACGTTCAGTGGAGTTGCTGCAATTGGAAAAAAGAACGCGTGCGGTGGAATTAATGGAAGAAGAGATGGAATAAAAATGTTCAGGATGTCATACAAATTATAGTATTTATCAAATAGGCCAACGTAGCATTAAGAATATTATTATTATTTTTACCTGCAGACATACATATGTACATAAGTATATGCATTTAATGATTGTATATTGCATTTTTATAAGTACCTACTATTATTACTATATTAAAATTATAATTTTTATGCGGTTGCATTTTAACATAAATGTAAGTGGAAAAAAGTTGCATTTTATTAAAAGACTTCATTTTCTTTTTAAAAAATAAAGATGTTATAAAAATTATATTTTAGTTGATTGTGGTTGTAAGGGTGGAAATTATTCAGATTTCTGAACTAATGCTATAGCTACTATGCAGTATGATTATCTGAATATTAGCCGCAAGCAAATCAGAACTTCCCAGTGAGTTAAGTCTAATGACGATGTCCAGTAACTGAGACTGAAACAAAAGCAATATTTTTATTTTTTTAATATTTAACATTTGCATAGACGTGCATCGACACTGCAGCTGGCGTTTTTTATTCATATTTTATTTTACTCTAAATAAACATACATATACTTATAAGTACTTATTAAATACATACGAGTACACACGTATAATAATTCGTTAATTGTTTTATAGAAATATTTAAATATAATAAAATTCGTACATATATACTCGTTACTAATAAATATATGAAAAATTGCCAATTTTTAACAATCAAAAGAAGGTAGTAAAGAGAATTTATTAACAAATAAAGAGTTTCTTGTACAAACTCTTGATTAATAGATGGAGATGAATTTCATGGACTAAAAGGACTAAAAACCCCAATATTGTTTTCGAATATCACATTATAAAAAGCATGTTTTAATTTTTGCTATACAAATCTCAAATATGCAGTGCAAGAAAAGTAACATAGAGAGAGAACGGGAGATTTTTAAGAGAGAGCAATAAAACTATGCATTTTGGACACCGATTTCTGTTTCTGTTTACGAATTCAAATGTTATAAAACTTATTTCCTATACTTACAATAAATAACGGTGCCATAAAAGTTTATAAATTTTCAAGTGTTAAATATAAAAAATAGCAAATAATATAAAAATTAAAAAATTAAATTAATATTAAAACTTTCATCAAATGTCAATTATCACTTTTCTGAATTCGTTACGCATGCTCACATTGGTGTTAAGTATTTTACATTTTGCATTGCAACATTTATTCATACTCGCAATTGCAGTTGCAGTCATCACAGACTGCTTCACTTATGACAATACTGCTACTCCGCTGATCGCCTTCAAGCACTTCGTCCCCATCTCTCTCTTCTTCTTCCAACACCGATGCGTTACTACCACTGCGCCCACCCGCAATTTGCAACCAAGCCATAAGCAATTGTAATGCCGGCCATAGCAATACCAAATTTCAGATATCAGTATTGAGGCTGATGCGTGTCAAGAACTCGCCTTGCGAATCGGCCACAGCACGTATAATTTCCAACAGTAGCTCACGTGAAAGTCCGCCTATTTTCGGCAAATGTGCGACCTTCGTAAAATCTTTCACAATCAAACGCAGAGCATAATCCTTGATATCGTAAATTTTCGTTATATCCGAGGCCTCAAGAGTTTGCAGCACATTTTCATATGTGATGTTATGCTCTAGAGAATATTTGCAGAAAGCGGCTAAGCGGTTGTTGGATAAGCCGTAAAAGCAAGGCGCCTGAAATAGATACAGTGCGTCTTGTGGGGGCAATTTCGTTTCACCATAGTAAATGTAACGAAGCAGCGATTGGAAAGCCTCTTGCGAAGGCGAAATTTCACCGATTTGTATCTGTAAGTGAAAAATCGAGCCCGTGAACGACTTAAATTCTATATTAAACAAAAATACTCACATTCACGGTATTATCAGGCGGCATGAAGGATCTAAACATGCCTTGAAAGTATGTGCAGCGTGCGGATAATATAGATTTATGTGCCGGTATGACTTGACCATCGAGTATCAGGTTGATGTCACAAAACTCCTTGCCAGTTTGTTCCAAAAATACAGCCATATCGCTTTCCAATGTGGTGCCTGTGAAAAGAAAGGAGTACAGTAAGGATTTCTTTAGTAATTGAGATAAACTGACCATCGTTTTTCTCAAAATTATTTTCCAGTATGATTTTGCCGGGATTCAAGCGCCTGCGCACGATTTCCACAATTAAAGATTTATCCAAATCGCCGAATTCACTGGACATTACAACATCCGCGTAATTTTCATCTTTTATAATGAACTGCATGCAGTGATCCTTAATGATTTGTATTCTAAACATACAATATATGTAAAATTAGTGAATATATGAATAAAAAAATGTGCATACGCACTTATTCTTATCCGCATTGTACAGCGCCTCCAACACATTCTGTTTGTTGATTTTGAAGTCCAAGTACTGTATGCAACCCTGTGCCAACCGCGGCATAAGAAACCTGCCCGCCAACTGGTATATATCGGTTATAAGTATAATTATATTTTTGCTATAAGAATCTTTCAAGTCGATACGATCCGTGTAGATGTAATTCAAAATAATGTCGAATGCCTCCGGCGATGCCTGCGCCAACCGCACTTCCAACATAGGCGCACGATCCGCCCCGCCACTACCCACCAGTGCACTCCTCATGTCCACAGCTGATCCGAATACTTTCTCAATTTGTTGTTGACGCGCATCGCGAGCTGCTAAAATTTTCGTACGCAAATGCTTCGAACGTGCTGCGACGAAAGCGATGTGCGCTAAAATTTTAATCTCCTCCGGACCGACAATAAATTGTATGTCACAAAATTGCTTGTCGTGAAAGAATTTTCCAAAATCATCGCGTAGCGTACATTTCGGATAACTGGAGAACTGAAAGCGATAAGTGTCGCCCCGACGCACACTGTTGTCGACGGTGCCACCAAAAATGAACATGGCATCGCCTATAACGGCACTGGCATGAAAGACACGACCCGAAGGCACATCCGAATTCGGCTCCGGCGCGATGACAGACCACACCTGCGAGTCCAAGTCGTAACAATGCAGATCGTTGGGCAATGTTGAATCAGCCGATCCGCCGAAAACGTAGAGAAAGCGATCGTGGTGGACCATAGTATGACCATAACGGCGCGATGGTGGCGCAGAGGTAGCACCACGCAAGACCGATTCGTTGGAGATGCGCCGCCAGCTGTAAGGCATAGTAAGTGAGTTTTTATACAGTTATTTATTATTAGGCTACAAACGTTTTGGTCTTGAAATGAAACTCGAAGAGTGAATTGGTGATCTGCAGACCACTTTGGCCAGAGAAGACATACATGCAGTCCCGCGCAACGGCAACCGGAAAATTACAGCAAGTGGGCGGACGATCTCCTTTTTGCTCCACCTCCTCCCACTGATGATTTTCGCCCTGTTAAGGAAATCGAAAACAATATTTATAAATATACGTTTTAAAACAAACATATATCGCATTATCGCATCGTGGTGGTAATAATGGAAACTAGTTCACTTGCCAGCAAATTAAGCGTCCACATATCATTCAGACGTGCATTACCATCGTAGCCTGCATAAATCCACATTTTGTTATCATAAACAGCGGCGCCGTGGGCTGAACGCGGTACTGGAACCCTAGAATTATGCAACGTTAGTTTGATATCTTTTCTACTGCAAACGCAGAGTTTCGCATGAAAACTTTGCATCTACTCACTCACCTTCCAGTGAACTTCCATTCCACCCACATCGCTGTTTGAAATTTATATTCGAATAAATCATTTTTATTCGTTAAATTCGAGTTCGAATGTATATCGCCGGTGTAGCCGCCGAAGATGAACATAGAGCTGCCATAAACGACCGCAGAATGATGATAGCGCGGCGCCGGCGCCACACCAGTGGCACAAGCACGTCCCCACGATTTATCTTTTACGCCAAAACGTATAAGATCGTTCAGCATCGTTTTGCCGTTGTCACCACCAAAGACGTACATAGCATCCTTATAAGCGACCACTGTGTGTTTGCTACGTCTGTACCAAAGAAATGTATATATGTATTTAGCAGATAAACTAAAAATGCCCATCCTATAAAGTAGGTACTTACTTGGCGCCCACGAACTCAGCGCATTCGAGCATTTTCGACCACTGATGCGTCGCTGTGTACGAGCTAAAATCCACATTCAGCGCATTCAAACTATAACTACCCGGCGATGTTGACTTGCAACTACCAATTTCATACATACAAATTCCGCCACTACTACGGCAACTGCTACCGCTACTGCCACGCATTGAACTCGAATTGGAATGCGACATTTTGCTACGAGATGATACGCCCTTACGACTCTTGCGACTGCCGGAATTACTACGACACTTGTCCACGTGCGTTTGGCAGGCGGTGCAATAACCGCTAGAGGCCGGACTACAAACAAAACCGCTGCTGTTGTTACCACCTACACCGCAGCTAGTTTGACTGCAGTTACTGCTCGTGCCGACGACGCTTCCGCAGGCTGCACTCAAGCTGCTGGAAATAGAGCTTGACGCTAAACTGCCGTTACAACCACCCACACCACCAATGCCACCGCCGCCCGCACCGCCACTGCCGGCACTACCGTTACCAGCGCCAGCGCTACCTCCTGCGTCTTCCGTCGAATCTGTAGACTCTGAGCCGAGCAAAGCCTTCAGCATTAACGAGTTACAGGTATAAAATCTCCTTCGTTGACTTATTTTGTCAGCTTTTTATAACACTTGTACAGAAGTGAAATGTTTAAACAAAAGCAAAAGCGTAGCTATAAGGAGTTGCTCAAACTAACTAAAAGTTAACGCCCACGAATTTTCACAGGCTGATCATGTCGCAGAAAAAAACAAACACACATGTAGACAAAAAAAACTGGAGCAGGCTAATCAAACACAAAACGATTTTCAAATGTCCAGCATTAGGCACTGCTCCGCCTAAATATTCGCTCTCACCTAGATCACTAACAAGTATTTATGCTTTTACATTTATTTTTTGCACAAATTTCATAACAATAATTGGATTTTCCAACTACTCTTTGTCTGTATACCAGATTGAAAATACACAATGAACCCCCACACAGGCAAACGTCGCCAACAAGAAACGAGCACGAAACTTATGAATGAAATGACATTTTATGAATGGTGCTAAAAAACAGCTGGGCGACAGAGGTGCCGACTTTCGCTTGAAAACGCAACATTTTTTGACATACGGAAACGGATGGTCTAACGAGTGCTGCCAAGTTCACTATTTCTATAATTACCATATCCTATTAGCGTTAAACTATAATATTGTTCTGAAAAAAAAAAATGATTATCGTATGATTTTAAAGGCCTTATTGATTCTGTGGTGTCTGGGCGTCAGCTGAAGCGCCAAAAGTTAAAATAAAAAACGGCATTTTTCGTAGTTCATAGCTTCTTTATTTGGCAACATTTTGTTTTGTTCATCTTCGCCCCGCAAACGTTCTCAAATTTTTGAACAATTTTTACTAAGAATTTAAAATTGCTAAATGTGAAAGCCAGAAGATAAATAGTGTGTAATTGTAACTAATGGGTGCATGGGATAGGCAGATAAATGGATAAAAAGCAATAAATAACATGAAATTAATGTGCAGAAATTTCTTCTTAATTTGTCATATATAAACTTTTAAATACATACATATATGTATATAGATATAATTTATTAATCGATAAAAAATAAGCTACTTCCATTTGGCTAATACTAAACTTATCACAATAACTTGTTTTTGGCAATTTTCGGGATTTAGAACCCTACACTATTAGCGATCATCTAAGGGTTAACGGGGGTCCTTTTTCATGTGGTTTTCGTTTACTATCAAATAGAGGCAACAAATAATACTAATAATGTCAGTAAATTATTAATTAAGACGGTGGCAAACTTATGGCATACCGTTATTCTGCTTACTAACACAACCTAAGAGAGCATAATATACAATTAATTTCATTTTTACAACTAATTGGCACTTTGGAAGCCACTTAAATCAATGAATTTCAGAGCTCGGATATCTTAAGCCTACACGTCCTCCGGCTTCTGTGTGCGCTCCATTGGGAAACCCTCAGGCTTGCTGCTCTTACGTTGCGCCTGTGTTATTTGTACAATGCGCGAGAGCGGCGAATGTGTGCTGCCGGTTGAGGGTGGGCGTGCTGCTGCGCCAGCAGAAGAAGAGGGCGCAGAACTGGCCGGCAGCAGACGTGTCGTACTCGACACTGTGCCTCCACTGCCCGTGGGGCTAGTCGGACTGGGATCGCCTGAGCTGCTAGTCGATGAGGGTGTTGTGGATATATTGAGCTCTCGCGCTAATGGCGATGGACGTAATGAGGCACGACGCTGGAAGACACTCTGCGTGGTTGATGGTGGTAGTGTTGGTGTAGCGGGAGTAGCGGTGCTACCACTTGTGGTCGGTGGAGGCGCTTTGCCGGGTGGTATTTGTAGTGCGGTGAGACGTACGCTGAAACGACGTTTGAATTTATTACCAGCTGCCGCTTGGTTGCTACCATTATTTGCATTTGTATCGCGCTCGCTGTAACTCGGTGGAGGTTCGGGTATTTGTTGCACAGCTGATGACTTGCGGCGTCGCGTCAACATGCTTGTCGGTCCGGACGACACAGATGCAGATGGTGCTAGTGCGGTTGTGGAACCCATCGGCGCATTAAACGAAGTAGGCAAGGCGCCAACGACGGTGGATCGACGGGCGTATAAGCGATTCGCCGCTGCCGCGTTCATAGCTCGTTTATTATCGCTACCAAGCAGCGAGAATAAGGGCGGCACGTCTGGTAACTCCATGCCTGCATTTCCCATCTTACGTTGCTTCTCTGCACCGCCAAATATGCCGCCCATATCGCTGTGTGTTATAACCGGCGGACTATCGGCGGCCTCGTCCATTACAGTTTGTGTATGCATCACCTCCAAGGCCCGGATTAAATCAGCAATTGTTGTATTCTCCAACACTTCACGTTCCTCCTCTGAGGCCACAGAGAAGAGGCTAGGACGTCGGTCTGCTGCGCCTCGTCCGCTGGTGGGAAAAAGACTGCCGCGCCGCTGTGGTGCGCCTGCATTCGGCTGTATTCCCGGGGCAAAGAGACTCCCGCGTCGTTGTGTGAGCCCAGCGGCGTTTGATGAGGGAAACAGACTGCCACGTCTGGCGCCCGCAGAAGGTTTCTGTGTGAATATCGACTCACGTCGTTTACGCGCCCCACCGCCCACAGCACTTGCCGGGAATCCATTGGCTGGTTGTTTCGAGGTCAAATTGCCATCTGAAGGGTAACTGCTTGGCAGACCAGGTAGAGCTGTTGGCTTGCCATTACCGTAATATGGTGAATTTGCGTCCGCCGCCACTGTGCTGTAGTAGTCGAGTGGCGGAGTGCGACGCGCAGACTCCGGGACGCTCATTATAGAGAAACGCCGTGCACCATTCGGCATAGAAATGTCTGTGCCAGCCTCAGCTGATGTGATACGCTCCTGCGAGGGTCGTTTTTTCGATGGGAACAACTTGCGCAGACCATCGGGCATAGAGAACTTCTTCATACGTGGTTTTTGAGGTTCCTCCTCTTCCATATTCACAACATATTCACGAGGTGGTAAACCAAAACTGGAACGGTAGAGATCACGGCTATCACCTTCCTTATAACGATTGTTAATCGCCTCCTGTATTCGTTCATTATCCCCACTCCAGGTCCACTCATTCGGCAGTGCTGTTGGACGACGTTGACGCCATGGCGGCTCGAAGTTGTAATCCGAGTTGGCACGTCCACGTGGTTTGGGCGCCTCATTTATGCTCGGATAAGACCATTCACTCGCCAATATTTGTGAATCAGACAGACCGTGATAGCCGCCAAACATACTGCCATCATCTTCCTCTGGCGGCGGCACGCGTACTGCGCCCAGCGCACCCACCACCTTGGCCAACAGTTCGGTAGTCTGCAAAAATACATCTGCATCCTGGAAGGATTTCTGCTTATCTAGCTTGTCGAGTTCAGTGTCGGACGAGGCACGTAAGGGTGCGAGCACGCCGCGTGCTTCAACGACATCATAGCTCTCGGAGAAAGCGCGCTTACGTGGCAGCTCTGGGGGCGGCTCCACACGATACATTGTAAGCTCGGGTGCAGAATTGGAACGATGCAGTTGCTGTGTTAGATCCGGTTCAGTGTATACGGGCTATGGGAAAAAAACAGTGAGTTTAATAATAAGACCAAGCAATGGAAAATGTTTGAATTGCCAAATATATGACGAATTTAATCATAAAAATATAAATAAATAGTCAAAAACCTTTTTCTAATTCAGCGTTAAGTGCACAAGAAATTTTTTTAAGTTCCTGCACCAAAACAAGACTTTTTTGTTAATTCTTTTAATAGTTTTTTTATGTTTTTTGTTAAGAATACTTACAACAAATTTCTTGCCGCCAATATTATTGATTATTTTAGAAAAATAACTATAAAAAATTAAAAAGAACAAGAAGAATTTGTCTTCAATCGCTTTGTTTAATATTATCAAAGTTTTACCCGTTTAGTAAATGTGGTACATAAAGAACACAACAGTTTTAAATGTTGCAAGGAATGACAACAACCTTTTTTAAAACAACAACTTTTTACTAAAAAAAATCAGTCCAAATTTGAAACCCTTTATTAATAATGTTATTTCTTAGACTTATGCAAAACTACTTTTTTAACATTCCCTTCAAAATAGTGAAAGTTCTTTGTGCAAATAACAAAATAAATAATTATGTTTAATGTTATTTTAATAAAAAAGCTAATACAAAATAATACCCAAGAATATGAGAAATGTACTAAATTGTATGAGAAATGTGTTTTTTTTTTCGATAAACTTACCAATATATTTATAACATCTGGTTAGCAAAAAGTTAAATAATTGAAATATATATTTAAGTTAATATTATTATTGCCGTTATAAACAATACTCATTATTCACACACACATTTTATTTTAGCAATCGATAACAAAGTAGTCGAACTGCTGTCATAAGTTGGCAACGCGAATATCGAATAAGAATGTGTTAGTACAGCAGCGGAACAATTCCCGTTCTGTGAAAAACTACAGGAGTTCTTTTGGATTTGTCATTTCAGGCGAAGAACCTATTTTACTATTTAACTAAATTATTGCAAAAATTTATTGAAATACATTTAATTCTTAATTTTCACAGAACGAAAATAACCCACAGAAATTTGGAGCAATTTCATAAAGATTAGTAATTCATTTTTTCTTTTAAATGCAAAACCTAATTAATGCTTTTTTATAAATAATTACTTAATATTAAACTTTTATAATAAAAACTATGTGTAATGCATTTCTTTTCTTTCAGTTCAAAGGACTTTCTTTACCTTCACTCTCAGGATATACAGCTCATTCAATATTCGTCGCAAATGTCCCACGTCCTTTGTGACACCAGACCAAATACGATTTTGCGTTGTTTTTATATTTGTTGAGAGTTGTTGTTCTAAACGTCTTAGCTTTTTACTTTGTAAGCCACTGTAAATGAGTTATGAAAGATATATGTGTATATGGTGCAAATTAGTGTATGAAAAAGTTTGCATATATTATATATGTATATATAAGTAATTTAAAAAAATTTACGATAATATTTATATATAACGGAAAATTCAAAAATTATTTCCCACCCTGTACCAAATTATAATAGATTAACGCTATATAACCATCACCCTTGCCTAAAATGCAATGAAAAAGAAGTTCACTTTAATGTATTTAATCAAAGCTGAAATGTGATTTTGTGGAATTTCCTTAAAACTGCGGCTGTATTTAAGTGAGTTCTTTGATGTATGCCAAAACCTTCGAGTGTATTTTCGAGATGAAATAAAAGCTCTTCGTAAAAATTCCTCGGCCGTTCGGAGGTAGATTAAAATGAACTGTAGGTTCGTCCATTATGTCGCAGAAGCTCGGTAGGCCAGCGTTTAAACAGCGACAATTATACATATATGTATTTTTTTTAAAGGAAGCAGACGCACCAAGACATTAATGTTAAAGAATGAAAATAAATGGATTTCGTTAGTTGTTTGTGATTAATGCATGTGTTTCTGATGATTCTATAATTAAAACTAAAAACCCTTTTTACTAGAACCTTACTTATGAAAGAATTTCCACAAAAGATCAAAAGCGCTATCATATATTTCTCGAAAAGATCGTTAGTGTGATGTCAGCAAAAAGCAGAACTTATGTTAAAAGAAAGAGTTTCTAGTGTAATGAGCTCCTTTTAAAAATAAATTAATGGACAATTAACGATAAAACTGCAATGCAATTAGTAACGAAAAATAAATAAACAAATGTAAACTTTACAAAAACCCAAATTCAATACATACAAATATCACATATATTATTGTTAAAAGAAAAATATTGGAATGTAAACATTACTTACCGCGTTATGAAGCCCATAATCATGACTAAATAACCTAAAGCGAATATAAACCAGAATATGACAAAAATCTCATACACCACAAACCAGCCGCCGAATTCCCGTGGCTAAAAGAAAAATCAGATGAAAAGAAAGTTTGTAGAGTGAGCTTTTTAGTAACAAGAAAATCGCTGATACCTGATCCGGTCCAAACGTCGGCACGAAATCACCAAAACCGATAGTGGTCGTGGTCACATAAGCAAAATAGATGGAAATGGAGTAAGACCACTTCTCAAAGTATGTGAACACAAGTGCCGGTAATAATATGAAGATACCAATACCCGGTATTAGGGCAATAAGTATGGCTGTGAATAGACCTAACTGCGGCGGCACATAATGTTTATCGTGTGAGAGTTTGTATCTTTTATAACGTCGATAAATTAATTCAAACTGAAATAAGAAAAAGTCGTTCACCATACGTAAATAAGTATGAGTGCAAACATCGTCACTCACCGTTTTACCAAAGTAATCGCCTAAGCCCGCGAAGAGTATACCATTGACCGGTATACCAATGATAGAGTAAAATATCATTATAAGACGTCCCGCAAATGTGGTTGGATATATATTGCCATAACCCACCGTGGAACATACAGTGAAGGCAAAGAACAACGAATGATAAAATGTCCATGTATAAGGTGGCTCAAACTCATCCGCTGTGTAGTTGGTGACAGACTTGCCACAATAAGTTGAAATGTTTTCGAGTACATCATTAATGGTGCTCTCATTCTTGCCGGCTAACTCACCAACAAGATATTCTGAAAATGAAAAATTAAATTTCCACATGAGTCAACATAGTCTTGCAAAATATACTAAAAATATAAAAATTTTATCGATACATTACATTTCCTTACACATTTCCTCTACGTTTATCGAAATATGGTAATAATTCGTAGCTTTCCGAGTTGCGAATTGGTAAAAGTAAAGTTTTAAAACATGCTCAAGAAGGACAAAAACCCTAGAGAGCCTAAGGCAAGCTGAAATCTTGTAAAAACTCACTGAATATGAATAAGAATGAGCACTCGAAGAGATTTTGCGACCCTGTTTTAATTGTGTAGTGGAAATCAGGGAGATGGATCGAGGTTACTAGGCGTACAATTTACAGCCAAGTTGAGTTAACTGAATGCACACCAGCACACATCAAACGGAAGAGATCTCATTTAAATTAATTGATTCATTTAAAGAACTTTTTTTCTAAAGTGTTTAATAAAAGTAATCCACTAATTAAATAATCAAATCAATTCATAAAACGTTTGCCTGAAAACAGATTACACAATGATTTATTGCATACTTGTATTTTCCTAAATTTCATTGTGTAAGCAATCGACTTACAAAGGCAATCGACAGACACGACAATCTTCCGCCTCTTGAATGTGTTTTCTTCAAGTCTCCATAGAAGAAGAGTACATACATACATATACCGATGCATAGAATCATGCACGTAAACATTCACAGCTTGAGATTTGCAACAATTTAACGCAATAATCGTAATAATGCTAGTGCCGTTAGAGCGCATTACAACGCTTTGTACGTTTGCACTTAATAGGCGTTTTGAGAGCGACGATTGTTGCGCACAGTTGTTGTTTATTACTGCTACAAATTGCATTTAGGGTTCGCTTGACAACTGACAGACAGATCAACCAACAGCTGTTTTATCTACGTGTACATATTTTTGTGTGTAGATTTGCTTAAATTAGATGCAATTTGAAGTTATTAACAACAGTATATTTACCTGCATTCATTTTGCCTTGCAAGAATTATCAGGAATTGTGTGTAAATTAAGAAAATTGTGGGCGTTTAATGCTTGTGTAAATTATCTGGATTTGCATAGAAATATTAAAGAAGCATATGGAAATGCAGCATGCATAGTTGGAAAAGATTTTGTAATTATGAAATTGTCTTAAACATTGTGACCTCTGATGAGGGTTTGAGGCCACTAGAAAGTTGAGTTTAAAAGTCATAAATTGTAATTTAAGACTACCTACAAATGATTTTCTTAAATCTGGCATTCGTGAAGATGAATGAAAGTTAAAGTGTTCGCAAACGGCAGTAATGAAACCACGAGATTAGTCTAGACGGTGATTGGGAAAATAATCAGAACAGCCGATGGAGGTAAAGCCTTGTTGTGGGGGAGTAATTCTCCATTGGCAAAGCTTGCGATTTCTATACTACTCGTATGTGTATACATATATTTACTACGCAGTTGGTTAAAACTTTCCAGTCCCTTTTCAAAATGTGCTATGGATTAAAATGCTGTCTTTATTTAAATCTCAATATTTCCTACACTACAACAGCAAACATTATGTGAGCAAATAAAATGAATACAAAATAAAGTTGAACGTGCTTCTTCTTCTTCTTTATTTGTGTACATATTTCACATTGCAAGCGAAGCATTTTGTTTTGATCGCATGAAATGTAACTGATAAGTACACACAAAAAACCTAATCTGAATGTCAAACATTTACACAACTACTAAATGCAATAAATAAATAAAAATAAAATTTAGTAAATAAATAAAGTGTCATTAAGTAATTGTAAGTGTCAATAAAATGTACTTAAAATGAAATAAGAGCGTCATACTGCATGTAAATATGTGCAAAAAGGTAAATTTCCGCAGTAAAAAAATAAAAAATACTCGACAAAAAATAATATAATCGTACATATAAAAATGTCTTTATGTAGTATTATGTATGTATGTGCAAACGTCGAGTAATTTACGAAACAAGCAATTTAAGCGAAATTAATTAATTAAAATAAAATAAAGCCAAGATCCTACTCACTGATAATCCGCCTAGTTTGTTTAAAATCGAAAATTACGTTTACGGAAAATGCAATCATGCATAAAATAAGCAACGAGAGCGAAATTTTTAAAATTGAAATGCAATGCTGACATAGTGAACCCTTAAGTTTACAAATCGATAACACTAACTAACGAAATCGATCACAGCAAAAACACGTGCTTTTTTTCGCAAGCAAAAATGTTTTGGTTTGTCTTAGATTTCGTTTTCACTGTCACTGTGTCACTGTATTTCTTTAGCCGTGACATTTTAAAAGCCGTTACTTCCGAAATTCATCAATTAGTGACATCACAGAAGCGTGCATAGAAGGAATGGCAGCAATTAAAATTAAAACAGGTTGAAATCAAAATCACTAGTGGAATAATAGTTTATTTAGAATCAGAGGCACACACACAGCCTCACAAGCAGCTGTGGCATATATTTCATTTGATTGTGGTGATTTGTTTATTTATTTACACACAGAAAGTGATACACGATGCTCAGATTGCTGAGCACACGAGCCAACAGCAGGCCAACTACCGCACACACAGATATTTTGACAAGCCGGCAAACGGAAAGCGCGCTTAATAGCACACGAATGTATGCGTACAAAAATGTACATTTGTATGAGAGTGTATTGTCAAACTCACACCGACTGAGTGTGCATGTATGTATGTACATAGAAATTATTTGGTTCATTGAGCAATTTGCTTGATTTGGATTTGCTATTTTATACATTTTTACATAATAGTAATGTCACAGCTAAATTACAAGCGAAACAAAAGACGAGGCGAGTAATAAATAGAAACTCTGGCCGTAGGTGTGTTTATCATACAAATCAATTCGTATGCACCGGCAGTACTTGTTTTACGGAAGCGTTTTTCAGTGACGATGACAAATATTTTAGTTGTGATTGCAAGTTCGTTGGTCGCCATTACAATTTTTTTTTTGTGATTTTATGTATGTACATGCATACACGCATACTTACTTAGTATATTTATAATACATAACCCAATTTGTATGTCTAACCCTAAATCGCTACTGCTATTCATTATCAAGTTCGAGGTCAAGAGTTTTACTTTGTATTTGGATATTCATTGAACAGTTGCTGAATTGGAGTGCGCTGTTGGGCATTCATTGCATAAATAGAGTCTAAAAGAGCACTAACTTTCGTGGAAGGAGTTAACTTTGGAACTCATTGCCAGTGAAGGACTTTCGGAAACTCGAGTTAAATACTGGTCAAGAAGGAGCTGCATGCGTATATGGATTATATTTTTGCCTTTTTTCAGTTTTTTTTTCAAACTCCAGCAATAAATACATAACGCATTTATTCTAAAGCGAAAATATCTTTAACTCATATATTTTAAAATCAAAAGAGAGTTATTTCCGCTTAATTGTGTAGTATCTTAAAATATCCAACATATAATACAAACATACATACATATGTGTAAATACGTCAAACTGGCTAAAAATAATTCGCAAACTTCAGCATTTTAGAAGAAATTTCTCTTTTTAATCTGCATCTAAGAGGCGCACACGAAAAATAAACTCCCACAAAATGAACAAATATCACACTCAGCGCTGTCTGCACCGATTTGCTTAAGGCAGTTAGATATTTATTATAGTTACTTTACACAATAAATTAACATCAAGCACAATATACACTAATAAGTAAGTTTTTTTTTTTTTTTTGAATACCATGAATGTGGTTGCCCGTGAGTGGCTGTGCTGACAGTGATGTGCATAGGCGCTGACGTATATCGACCGTATCGATAAGCAAACACCAACTCACATTCCAATGGCACTGATGCGTGTTTAATAGGGAATTTTTATGCTAATAAACTAAAAAATTCATTAGCCGAATAATAATGAAAGTAAAGCGGTCACGACCCACAAATATTTGCATTTTAACGGTTTATAATGCAAATTATGTTGACATTCATGAAAAATTACAAATAATTCTAACAAAAATAAGGTAAATTTTTGAAAACTATAAGTTCTAATTCTAAATTTTCAAATTAGCTGTAAGAAAATGAAAGAAATATGAAAAATATGTTATTAAATTCATTATTGATTTGATTGATTTTTCCTGGCAATTTTGCTTGGCTTTTTTATTACTCCATTCACTCGGAATAAGTTGAGACCGGAAATATATTTGTTAATTTTGGAAAAAAATGTAGGTACATTTTTCACAAGGGTATTTTATAAACAGTTTTTATGTGCCGAATTTTCGCATTTCACATTTTTTGTTTTAACCTCGTACATATAAAATCCTTATGACTTACCGTTAATTTCAATACGCTCTCTCAATTCCGCCGCTCGCTGCTGCTTTTCGAGGCCGTGCTCTATGTGGTAGTAGATGCTGGCGCCGAACATCAAATACGCTATGTAAAAGATAAGCAACAAAATCCATCGTCGCGGCGACATAGCTCTGCTGACACAATCCCGCTGCCGCTGCTGCCGTCGACGTTGGTGATCCCCAACGCAAAGTTCTCTGCCATTTTTGTGATAAGTTTGAGGAAAAGTGCGCAGAAGTTTGGCAAACATGAGATAAAACATTTTTGCAATTGAGGCAAACAATCATTCGGCGCAGGAAGAAAACAAAAAATACAATAGCAAAAACAAAACTTATATAATGCACATAACAAAATTTAGCATTGTCGCCGGCGAATCATTTGAAGGTGACGACGAGGGAATTTCAAACTTAATTTTTTTTATATAATTTTTTACAATTCTTTAAGAAAAAGAGACAAAAATTTCGTGTTGCTTTGAAATCTTTATTAAAAATCTTTCACTTCTAACGCGTTTTAAACGCAACTTACGCGCACAACCGCCAAGAATGTTACGCGCAAACTGCCAGCGCTTGGCTTTCAAAGTACTTTCGAAGACAGCAGCTCGTTGTGTAGATATAAGAAGCAATAACGTAAGAAGGCAAAAAATCTGGGAAAATGTTATCAAATAATAATTGAAAAATAAAACATTCCAATATACATTCATACGGGTATGTTTGTAGATACTCGTAGCAAGTGCTTGAGTACCGTTTGAAGTGGCTAAACGCATTATCAGCACCTTGTATACATATTTATGTACATATAAGCACTGCAACCGACGTCTGCCTGCCCTGAAGCAGCAACGACCTCATTTCTCAGCCAATATTCCCTTATTTTGGCAATTAATCGCGTAATCAATTATTAGTCAATTACACAAAAGTATAGATTTCAGTTTACGTTCTGCTCTGCAGATTGGCTTGCTTGCCCACACCAGACATGGTTGATCGTGACGTTTTTTATGTTCCATGTTTACAGTTACTTCTTTGTGTGTTCTAGAGTTTGTTTACATTCTTTCATATCGCAAATAGGTGTGTTCTTTGTTAGATTAGGGTTGCTCTGTGTACACGTGCAAAAATTTGCATTGTTTGGCGAAATGAGTTTTATGGCACGCGTTCGAGGTTCATTACTTAGTGGCCATATTGACAATAATTTAACCAGAGCATTTTTATTAGAGCTAAGATAGCAAAGTCGATAATGTATAAACAAATAATTGATCGCAATAAAAGCTAGTAGAGATAGATATTATTCAAAAAAAAAAAAAACATAAAAGTGAGGTTAACCATTTCGGAAAAACATGAAAGCGAGGCTAAAATTTCCGAAAAGAAGTCTAGATGGTTTATAGAAGCATTTTAATTATTAAAAGATCATAAATTTCAACAAGTTTTAATTCGAAAGGAAAATGTCACTCATACGCCTTGACTAATGGACCGTGAGTGTTTTGATGGATATTGATTAAATGCCTAAGATCGAGGTCAAATTAAATCAATCATATGACGTAAGGATTAAGATTGAGATTTTTTGAAATCATTTTCAATAAATTGGTTTTCCGTTCAAATATTTTATGTATGAAAAAATTTCAAATTTTTTTTAAGTGTACTCATATATAATATATATATGTACATAGTAGTATTTTCCCACTAAACATATTTGCATAAGTAGTAAATAAAATAAAGCATTTATCAGCAAAGCATGTGACAAGTCGCAGTAAATGAAGCAGTTTTAATATATTAATACATATATAATTGGAGCTTTAGAACCGATGAAGCGAATTCCTGCCGAGCTTCTCCTTCAACTCGTGGTGTACCTTATTCTAAGCCTCCTCCAAACGGCTGAACGATTTTTATGAAAAGCTTTAATTTCATGTCCGGAATACACTCGGAGAGCTCGACATTCCCTGCCAAGGGACGACCGCAATCACAAACACAAATTTTAAAATTAATTTTCTAATATTTTGGATACTAATTGAGCTTTTATTCTTCCATACTCGTTTTGTTTTCAACCTTTATTTTTGTCAAGCAAAGTAAGCAGGTTTTATTTGATTTAGTCTTAATAGCCAGCCGGTAATAATCGTGTATAATTGGTTATACAAAAACTAAGCAAAGAACGAAATCCCAGAAAATACTGTAAACAACTCTGGTTCTCCTAAGTCACCTCATAGAACTTGCATATAATCAATCATGCTGCTCAAGCCCACCACCTGAAACATGACAAGTCATTCATCGATTTATCGATTATTTACTTTACAATTTTGATCACTGAAATTCCGCTATTTTCTCTGTAACATAAGAAAGATTCACCGAGCAGCGGTCAGACAGTTAATAATATTATTAGTTTACCCTGGACTACATATAAAATGCAAACTTTGGATACGAATATCATAGAAAAAAGTAGAGCTAAATCTTTGTCGCTTAATCCATTTGTGATTATGAGATTTATATTCGCATTCGACTTATTTTATAATTATTATTATTTTCTCAATGAGAACGCACACGACCCTTCTTAGTATGAAAAATGTTGTGTTGTTTATGTAAACCAGAACTATAACCGTTGTTCTGCTGCTACGCCTACAAATTTAGCAGATTTGTTGTTGCTACATATTTTCTGTGTATATACACGTATGTATATAGATATGTATGTGGATGGGATTGTGTGCGATTGTACGCCTCGCCCGTCGGCAGATTAGAAGTCAAGTAATTAGCCAATTATTAAAGTAGTTAATTGCTTTTTTATAACCTGGTTACTGATATCTCGAAACCAAAGCAAAACAAATGCGCAAGAAATTCATATCGCTTGAGAAGAGAATATTTTTGTTATGATTTATTGGCTTGGAATATTTTGGAGATAAAGGCAGTGATTTATTTGTATGTTCATGAAAGTGTGTTTTAAAGGCAGGGAATAGTAATTAAAAGGCGATTGATTGACGAGAATTGATTGATTGAAATAATAAATTGAAAAGTGAGCTAACTGAACCTATTAAAACACAAAAGGAGGACTTTACCAACAGTTTGTGGTTAGAAAGAGCTTAAGTTGTGTTTTTCCTTTGAACAATTTTTTTTTTTTATTTACATGCGGAGTTTCAAAAGTTTTGTACGCCAATTATGTCCGGGAACTGCGACCATTTGCAACAAGAGCAGTTAAATAATTTGGTAATGCATATTGATAAGCACACAAGGCACATTTATTACAATCATTATCTCATCTCTCAATTAGGCATGTTGAACAATGTTGCCTACATACATATGTATATAATGAAATTACTTGCTTATTACACTCGAAATTAAGCGATAAGCACAATACAATGCAAATGACACAGCTGAACAGCTTTTAATCAATTTCATATTTATATATTAAAAGCCAACAGAACAGTAGTAGCAAGTAGCCCAGTACATGATTTAAAGGCTTACAATTATCATTTAATAATCGATAGATTACAAGTATCACCACAAGCACTTCATCGTACATCGACTAACGATAACTCAATGCCACTCGTTAACTCGTGCCCACTTGGTCTCGACAATTTTTATTCTTAAATGCTCAAAGGCTTCAAAAGGCTTTTAAGAAATTTATCCAGTTCGAATATTTGTATAAATATGTGCGTTAAAAAAGATATTATAAATAAAAGAGTGATGACATTGATTTGAATCATTGAATTAAGGGAAAATTACATTAACGAGCGGAAAAATCTCAGTGTAATATGTTTGTACATAAACATGTATGTGATATTGCGGTTGCGAGTGTTTGCAAAAGTGTAAAGTAAATAATACTTTTTTTTGGAATTTTGCACTCAGATAGGCGCGCTAAAAATCGCGAAATTCAATAAAAATTTTTCTTTTGTTTTTTACAATTTTATTTGAGTTTTGGTATCCATAAAGCATATTTGCAATTACAATTTTTTTTTCAATATAAATAAATAAATTTTCTTAAATAGTATCTGACTTCTGTTATCATTTTTCTCACAACCATAACATTGATTAAGTAGAAATTTCTCAGAATTTAAGTGCTAAGTTTCTTACATTAACATTGTTACATACATACATTAGTGTAGTGCAATAAAACAAAAACTGCTACTCATTCGAAAGAACAGTAATGACTGGTTAAATCCGTAAGTGGCCCAAAAATTATTGACATCGACTACGCCTAGTCACCTTCGACCATTGGTCAAACGTCAAAAAATTGTACGAGGTGATTAAAGTTATTCATCCGCCCGCAAATCAAGCGTGAGTTTACCGCTTCGCTTAGAAATTCAAAAGCTTTTCAGTGTAAAACTATAAAAAATTGCTGAGATTTTTCATTCCGCATATTTCGGACGCCCCTCGTCCATGATAAGGCGTTACTTTCATACCGCTTTGCCATTTTCACCGCCACTTATTAGCAGTTGATTGACATTTATTTGACAAAATAACGTTTGGTGATTCCCTCGACGGCGCACCTAACCGCACATTGCTACATTTCCAACAACTTAAACTCGAAAAATTAGTAAAGGGAAACCTTTTGCCGCAAATAAAAATAAAGTAAATCTGTGTGGCGTCAGTTGTCAACTTTGTAAATAAAATGAACAGTTTGTCAACAAAGCGATGACAAAAATGTATCTGTGTGTAAACGCGCTGGTTCTCACATGCACAAGTGTCAATGTAGTTATGTCTGTATGTATGTAGTATGTAGATTTGCACTCAATACGTGATCAGCGCTAAATTGTTTTTATTATTAGCGGCATTTTCGACAGAAAAAATTAAGCTAAAGCGAGGTGGCCAAGGAAGTGCATATTTTAGAGTTTTAGATTGCAAAATATAATATTAACGTGATATATGTACGTACAACGTACAACGAAAGAAAAGTATGCAAAAAAAATAATATTTTTTTCATAATAATAACAAATCAGTTGTGCCAATTTTTTGTTTTTTTCCCACGTTTTTGCAGCGCTCCACTACATCTGTGCATACATACGTACAAGTATGTACATATGAACATAACCAAATATTTTTTCACCTGCTTATACCATATTTCCTCATTCAATTATGCCATTTACTGATATTTACATTATTCTTATGACACTTTATACGCTGTATTTGTCAACTAGACACTTCTGCATATTTGCATACCCCTCAGCACACATTCTTGCAAACATATCTATGTACATACATACATTGTACATATTTGGCTACCGAATTTTTCGTGTGAATTCCATGAATTGTCACATTTTCACTTCGGATAATGAAAATGGTAAGCAGTTGAGAATTGCGAAAAATAAGCACAACAAAGGTTTATTTGTTATTTTTCATACATGAAAATACTGGTAATGTAAATATGTATGTATGTATGTATGTTTGCTTGTTTTATGCAGAAATACGGTGAGGCATCAATTGAAGTGATTAAAAAGTGTTTCTGTTATTTTTTTTTCTGATAAAAGTAAGAAATTTTGGGTGAAGTGTTTATACATCGATTATTTATATTGGAAGTTGTATTTGTAACTAAACGTTTGCAATAGATCATTTTTGTGGTTATCAGTAGATATTGTTATCGATTATAAAGAAAGAGTACAAATCAAGCGGTTTTTAATTGTTATCGATTTATATTTTTAGGATGTTTAACCGCTTTGCATCGACCATTAA